CTCATATGTGGGATCCGAACCGGGGCCCTCTGGCATCCCAAGCCAGTTCTTAACCATCGCGCCACTCGGCCGGCCCGCAAATTAAATTTTTAAAAAATCACTTACAACAGCACCAAAAACTATGAAATACTCAAGGATAAGCTGGACAAAAGATGTGAAAACTAAAAAACGCAGCCAAGAGAAATTAAAGAAGACCTAAACAAGAAGAGACATACACCTTGCTCATGAGTACTCCAATAAGATGTTAAATTTCTCTACAGGTTCAATGCAATCCCAATAAAAATCTCAGCAATGTGCAGATAGTGACCAGCTCATTCCAATTTGTAGGAAAATGGAAATGAACTAGAAAAGCCAAAATAACTCTGTATGAAGAAAACAAAAATTAGAAAGCTAACACTATCTGTTTTAAAGAATGACGTACAATAATCAAACCGTTCGGCACAATGGTCAAAACAGATCAATGGGCAGAAGAGGCGGTCCAGAGGCAAAGCACACTTTGGACAGATGGCTCTGCACAAAGGCAGTGCAGTGGAGAAAGGAGCCTTTCCAGCAAACAGTGCTAGACCAGCTGCAGAGCCACATGTGGAGAAGACAGGACTTTTCTCCATACCTCATATCATATATAAAAATTAACTTGAAATTGTCATGGGCCTAAAAAATGTAAAACTTGAAACTATATAACTTCTAGGAAAAAAACCCTTTGTGTCCGGCATTAAGCAAAGATTTCTTAAGTAACAAGATCAAAGGAAGACCCGTAAGAGTAAAAACTGATAAACTGAATATATAAAAAATTTTAGCTTGCGCTTTTCAAAAGGTACTGTTAGGAGAACAAAAAGATAAGCCACAGACTGGAAGAATGTATTTGCAAATCACATATCTGATAAGGACTTATGCCCAAAACATATATACAACTCTCAAAACGTAATAATCAAGCAGCCCAACAAGAGAATGAGCAAAAGACTTGAACAGAACCTTCAGCAAAGAAGACATATGCGTATGAAAAAGTGCTTGATGCTACTGTCATTAGGGAGACACAAATGAGAAACACAGTAAGGTTCCATGGCTACCTTTTGGAATGGCTAAAATGAAAAAGACCAGCCTCACCGATGTTGGTGAGGCCATGCAGCAGCTCCAGCTTTGATCCACTGCTGGTGGGAGCACCAAGGGCCATCGTGGGAAACAGTTTTGCCACGTCTCAGGTGGATACACACGCCTACCAGATGATACATCTATTCCAGTCCCACGTATTTACCCAAGAGAAATGGAAACATATGCCCATACAAAGTCCTGCTTATAAATGTTCAAGGTAGCTTCATTTGTAATAGCCCCAACCTGGAAACAATCCAATATTCACCAGCAGATGAATGGAAAAACAAGCTGGTATATCATGGAATGGAAGGAATACCAGTCAGCAACAAAAAGGAGCAAGCTGTGACTGTCATAATGTAAGTGAACCTCAGAATCACTAAGCCAGTTAAAAGAAGCACTCATCTTGATTGTGGTGATGGTTTTACAGGTGTGTACACATATCAAATACAGTAGAGAAATCAATGAGGAATGGAAGAGTCAGCAAATCAACTCTAATGCACTGAGTACTGGGCTTTATGCGAGGGAAAATTAAACTAGCACAAAAGCTTAGGTACACTTCAAATATATGATGTTTGTTGTACATCAACTACAATTCACTAAGCTCTACACCCAAAAATAGGGAAGAGGAGGAGAGAACAGAAGTCCTGACACAGCTGCCCAGGAGCGAGACCTCTCTGGGCCACCGGGGCCATGCGGAGAGCCCGCTGGAAGTCTGTGACCATGGACGTCAAGTGAGACCGTTCCATACTGCAACACAGTGTCATTCAGCAGCACTTATCTGCTCAGGAAAAGGCACACAGGAGATAGAGAATTACATGGGAACAAGTTAGAGGCGTTTGCAGAGCACCTAGGAAGGAAGTCATGAAGGGATGGTCTGAGCGACACAGGCAGTGAGGTGGCAGAGGAGACACTGACAAGTACTAGCCGAATCAGCTTAAGGGGGGAAACAAAGGTGGGATGCCCAACACTCACAAGGTGCTCACTGTGCACCTCTCGTGCGTAACAGAATGGAATTACAGAAGGGGAGAATGTGCTTTCTCCTAACTCAGGTGTATCTATAGAAGAATCACCTGGGAGGCTGAACTCACTCCACCTGCATCTACTCTGCCCAGTTACTACGAGCCAACTTAGGGAGCCCATTCCTTCAGTCAAGCTGCCCCACCTGACGGTCAGTAATGGCAGTGTGGCCTGCCTCTTAGGGCTCAGAGAACAAACTGCTCCTTTGGATTTCCGCAGAAACAAACTCAGGAGGTGAGGTCAGTGCCCATGACCCACTGCACGTCTATGTCTGCCCACATCGGGCCCCCCCCCAAAAGCCCTGTTCTCTTCTTGTTCTTGTCTTCCTCTGAAAGTAGCTTTAAATACCCCTCAAAAAAAAAAAAAAGACTTCCGTTGGGCTAGACCCTCAATTTCCACATTAGCGGTTGGTCTGTGCTTTCACACTCTGCCCCCAGGCAACCTTCTGATCCTCCCAGTCCAATCAGGTTTGCCTTGTGGGGCAGGCGCCCATCTCACACTGTCCACAATGCCTGCCTGACCAGCAGGCCTCATCTCTGTCCATGGGGGAGTAAGTTTAGAGTAGAATCAAGGGAAGCAATGACGGAATGTTGTTTAGGGAGAAATTTAGTGAGCTGAATTTTTAAAAGCAACGGAAGACAGCCCTTCCTCTACATGAAAATGAGCTCATAAAGTAGCTTTACCCGCATCGCTGCTTTCAGGTGGACATTCGTACTCCGAGTGGTCCAGAGCCACGGTGTTCATGGCTGTCTGGTCTGACTCCTGTAACTCTGACAGTGCTGCATCCTCATGACTTCTGTCACCATCGCCATTGGCATTCAATTCTGTAGTTAGGAAATTTTACCCCAAAAGGCAGGGTTAGGAGAATAACTTTCTCTTTAAAACAAAACAAAAGCTTATATATACTTGCCGTTATTTCAATTTTTTAACTTATGGTGAAAGATCTCCTGGCTCTTAAATACTGTCACAAACCAGGGCACAAATCTGAGTTGACAATATCTTACAGATGGACTAAAATAAACAAAGCAAAGCCTGAGCACAAAGCTGCCCCTTGTCCCACTGGCTCACACTCACCTCCCTGGCCGCAGTCAGGGCGATGGCTGGGCGTGTTCTCCCAGGTGGCGCTCACACCGCCGTCCGCTGTACTACCTGCCTCCAAATGTAACACAGGTGTCCCCCATACTTTTGCATTGGGGTTTAGCTCTGAAACCTTGGCTGCTGGTACCTAAGAAAAATGTGATATATACATTTGTATCCAAATTGCAATCAAATGCAGTTTTACTTATTAGTTCAGAGTTAAAAATGCTTATATGTAAGACAATCTATGCTAGAAAGGCTGAGCCCATCTACATGTTCTTGGGGATGAAATCAGGTGCAACAACAAAAGCTGATGTCTTCAGAACTCAATTCACCATGACAGTCTAAGTTCCTACGAAGTACAAGGCTCTCTAGATTAGATGTGTAACTGATAGAAAACTGCTGGTCCAATTAGCATCTCTGTCTAGACTACCCACCACAATTCACAGATTTGTAAACGTGAACTGAACAAGATGGATAAAACCTGAAAACAAAGTTCAAACACTTATATAAGCAAAGGACGTAGAAAATGCAAGTTCCTCCAGGAACACAGGTCCTCTGACAGGTCTGTCAGGGAGGTGCCTGGTAGGGCACCTCTGTGACCAGCTCATTTCCAGGATTACCGGCCTCCTGCTGTCCAGACATAGCAGGCACTTCTGCTCTCCCTAATCCTATGACCAGAACACTCTCTCAGGGATCCACAGGGCTCCCGCCTTTACCTCCTTCTCGGCATTGGTGAGGTCTTTTCCCATGTACCTATTTATTTATGATTTTATGAGCTGTTGGCAGCTCAGCGGCAGTTCAGCTCAGCTCAGGCCGGGACTGAAACCACTGTTGCTCAGAGCCACACTATTGAGCGAGCTCTTAACCAACTGAACCACTCAGCCAGCCCTATTTAAGATTTTATTGGGGAATTGGGAGAGGGGAACAGCACTGGAGAATTGGGGAAGGGGAAAAGACAAGTTGCTGTCCTTTTGTTCTTCAATCTAGTTATAGAGGATGTCGCTTCACTGGCCCATGCTGGTATTATCTTTGCGCTCTTCCTGGGTGAGGCAGTCGCTCGCCGGCCATTGGACCGGCCGCTCACGGCGGCTCATGGCAGCTCACGCCCGGTGCTGGCCAGCCCCACTGCAGCCTACACCATCGCCGGCCACTCACAGCAGCCCAGCTCCAGGTTGAACTGTTGTTCACCATCTTAGCTGTAGAGAGCGCATCACTGGCCCTCATGTGGGATCCGAACCAGGGGCCTGCTGCTCAGAACTGGCATCCCAAGCCAACTCCTAACCAAAGCGCCACTCGGCCGGCCCCCCATGTACCTTATTTAAACCCACAACCACTACCCCATTTTTCTTCTGCTCACAAGCCTTGAGTGGTTCCACAAGTCAAAAGAAAATGTGATGTCCCAAGAGCAGTTGCTCCCCCAACTAAGTCCAGTTCTGCCATGACAATTATTCAGTAAACCCGGACAAATTACTTGCTTTTTCCCAGCTACCACAAGCCTGGATCCCACTGTGCAGGGGTTAGAGCTTCCAAAGGGAAAGAGGAGGGTCCTGGTCCCAGGAGCCCTCGGGCAGTGCCAGGCAGGAGCTCTGGGCTGGGAGCAGCCTCACTGCACACCGCCAGAGTGGCACAGATATTGCCCGATGCTGTCCCCTCATATGCACAAGGCCCAGATAAGCCACCAAGGAGACAACATGGGGATCAACAATCTTAAACGGACAGAAAATTCACTGTGGCTGGGTGATTATAGCTTGCGGTAAACAACTATTTTTGAAATTGAGAGTAGAGGCTAATGTGGTTAAAACTATAGTATATATTTTGTTCATACTCAGGGAGCAAGAGTAATAAACATCACGCCCACAAAACCAGATGCCTCGCTGAGTGCCTATCTGGAATTCTCTTAATCTTTTTAGGTAATGGTAAAAGGCAAAGAATAGGGTTCCCCTTCTCCTTCAAGAATATTACACTCAAGAAGCACCGACTCTTAAATCTCTCTTTTTACAGGACGCCTACACTTCCAGTTCATTTGTGCCCTAGGCTTCTGCACAGTGTTTCTGTTTGTCACTCTCATTCCACCATGACCCCAACAAAGGCGTCCTAAATGCTCACTAAGAGCCAGGCACAGCACTCAGCAGTCAGGATGGAAAAGCAGATCTAGCCCTGCCCTCATGAGCAGAAGGTACTCCCCATATCTAACAGACACCGACCATTACCTTCCTCAGCATTTACACCTATTATTCCGCCTTTTTTTTTTTTTTTTCGGTGACTCCTGTCTTTATTCTCTTTCCTTTTCTAACACTTGTGTAAACCACTGTTTCTAATTAGACCTGGTCTCTTTCTACCACACAACAACACACATTAAGCTTTCCCATCTTAGTGCTGTTCTGCCCAGAGAATTGACTCCCGTTAATTCATAACACCCACTAACATTGGTCTTTTCCACTTTTAGCACCTTTTGCAGCTGACTATATTCCCTTACCAATATACATATGGTAGGTCACACTTCCCCCCAGAGGTGAACTGCTGTAAAAGACACTGAGAGTTTCAGGCCCTTGCAGGCTTGTCTCCCACAGCCACTGACTGCTAGGGTGTGTCTGGTGTCCCCCACGAGCCCACGAACTCTTGGGTGTCCATTCTGTTCCCCACCACATAACTAATACCTACTAGCACTTCTGAACTCAGGACACAGGTGCCTGGGAAATATTCACTCAGAATGAACATTTAATAAAAGTTAAGATAGAAAATTGTATATTCCACTATTTGACAACTTGTGCAAGATTTTATGCCACAACCAGGTAGAACCCATTTTATGTAATTTACTACTTCTTAAATGGTAGGCACTCAAGTCCAGATCAAGTGTTAGAGACTCCACAATTTTAAGCAGTTAACCAGTGTTCAAGAGATACTCTGAGATGTGACAAAGGATGAAAGCAAGGAGACTTATAATTAGGGGCTAATGACATGACAACTAACACTGGAGAGTCTGCTAGGTGCCAGGATATTCTATGCACGTACCTATATTTAACCATGAAAATTCTATCAGGTAGTAGCCATCACTGCCCCCATTTCACAATGAAGAAAACCAAGACAGGGACAGGTTAAGTAACTTGCCCAAGAAAATGATGGTAATTAGAACACAGTGCTATAATAGCAGCAAAAAACTAAAAGTTATCAAGAGTTCGTTAACTTCTTATAATTCACATGAGAAATAACTTGTATTAAGCTTATTTCTTTGAAATGTGGTTATTCTCATACAGTCATACGAACTCCAACTAATTATCGACAACTCCAGTTTTACCCATGGGCCACCTAAGTCATATTTCCCACTGAAAACTCAAGACTAAGCAATAGTTACTAGAACCAGAAGTAAGCTGACCTTCACAGCCACGCTCTGAAGCGATTTTATATAAATGGCCAATGTTACTCTTTGACGGACAGCAACCCCAAATGCTGAAGCTCTAAAGAAAACTCTTTTACCCGTCGCCCCAAACACAATGCTCCCTTGAAAAAAAAAAGAACCTGGCAATTCATTAACTTGTGATTTCTCAACATGAGACAGAATGGTCTCACTGACAAGTTACTGTGTAGGAACTAGAGTAACTAATATCAGAGGAAGGAGAAAGGCAGGTAGAGAAAATAGGTGAGATAATCAGGAAAAGAAACTAACATTTTTCATTTCAAGTTAGCAAGAACTGTTCCTGGACTTGCCACTAAGTAAGCTTAATTCAGAACAATTCACTGGCTTTAGAGTCATGAAGTCTGTGGACCTCTTAATTTGTAAAATGGAGTAACAGCTGCTATATAAGATTACTAAAAACAGATGTCTGTCCAAGCACTTCGAAATCTGGAGTTTTGAAAAGCAACGCACTACCCTTAAATGGAGTATGTCAGGTTAGAATACTGTTTGCATGTATCTCATAATGGAATGGCTAATTTCAGGACAGTACACAAGTTTGTCACTTAGAGGTGTAAGAGCAGGATAACAGGACCTGTGTGCACTCTACGCTATCGTGGCAAGCACTGAAATTAGCAGACACTTGTTAATCATGCCTGCGAATGTAAATGATTATGTGCGTATGAATTAAAGGCCTAATTTCATAGTGTTTGCCTCCACAACTATTTAAGGAACAAAAACCGATCAACGAACGTAACTCTGGTGAAACTCCCAAATGTGGGCATGGAAATCTGGAAAGAGGGGACGTTAATAAATAATTCCCTGAACTATAGGATTTAATTTCTATTTGTTTATTCCATACAATAAGCATTAATTAACATTTAAGCTATATCTATCTCCTTACTATTTATTACCTATCATTTTTCTTGTCTAATGCAACAAGAATCACTAACAATAAACTATTGCTTGAATAAATGAAATTTGGTATTAGCAGTATGCCCTTTCAATCACACACATCCAAAAGGACTGCTTTAAGAGCAAGACTACCTTCCCATTTGTTGGATGTCTGCATTTGCTACAGGGCTCCTGGAAATGTGCCCGAGCCAGCTGGGGTGCGGAATCACCTGCGAAGCTCCTTCCAAAGAGCGGGGCTGCGGGCCTGAGCACCATGGTCTGAAAGGTTCTGCAGGTGCTTCTGATGGAAGTGGGACACAGCAAGATGCCACTGCCTTAGACATTAGACAGTCACCGTGCAAAGCACAAACAGCACAGCTTAAGGCACGTATACTCTGCAAGTAGAACCTTTTAGAAATAACTTTACACATCCGCTGGGTCAAATGGTTGTTGTGTCCCAGCAAGGGGCTGGTGGTAGGGAAGGATGGCCTGGGCAGGGCAGCCTGCTAGAGCATGCACACACGGAGTCCACGGACAGAAGGCTGCACGAAGCAGCATCTGACCGCCAGCAGCACAGGTTTTGGTGCTGTCAAGAGCTGACACACCAGCTTTGGCTTAAGTACACCAAACAGTGAATTGAATTCAAAGTCTGCAATTTGGAAACGGTTAATTCGATGCTACAGTAACTCACAGGTTTATACAGAGATTCAAACAACTGCCCATTGTTTAGAATGAATCTCCGTTAATTTTGTGAAAAGCAATCAGGATTAAAGATTAGTATGTCACAAGCACAATAATAAAAGCATACTTACTAACTGTGTACCTCCATTTTGCCATCCCCAAATAACTCCACCTTCAGCCATTGGTAACTGAGGAGGGGGCTTTCCCATCCAAAATGATGCCATTGCGAGGTCCTGTGGCTGACTGTGTAGGTCCCCACCAAGTGTGGGTCTGTCTCCCAGTGCATCTGCGTTCGCCCACAGACAGCCCACCGGATATCCACAACCATCTGCCAGTCGTTCAGACAACAGGTGACTGGCCACCCCTCCCACCAAGTAGCAGGAAAGTTCACTCACACACTGGGAGTCCAATTCCTCTGGGAAGCCCTGCAGAGGGTCCTGTAAAGGGTCTTCATATCTATTTATACTGTCTTCTGAGAGCGATAAAACCTGGTCCTCGCTACTTGGCACTTCTGTTTCCTTGCTGTCAGGTGGAATGACGAGAAGTGCGTGCAGCACATCCTGAGGAGCAGCTGTGTGTCTGTCCACTCGGGCACGATCCAAGCAGGAATACCCTGCAAGAGTGTCACCTAACTCCATTTTTCCACCATTCACCCTTGAACTTCCCACAAAACCCACTTCACCATGGTTTAATGTGGGTTCTTTAACTGTGGCTGTGGCATTTCTTTGTTTGAAGCAGTGTGCTTGTCTGCTTGTCCCACACGGACCTCCATAGTCGCTGCCACTGGATTCACTGTTGTCTTTCCCCCAGGGAAGCCCCTCTTTCTCCTTGCGCCCCACGGCAGCCCCATGACCTACAGCATCTGAGACCTCCCTTGGGCGTGCGTAGACCTGCTCCTGTCCTGAATGGCCTCCATGGCCACCGCCACCACCACAAAGAGAGCATGTCTCTCCAGCACCCGCCAGTGCAACTGAACTCACAGGTCGTACAAGGGGTAGCTCCGCCTGTCTGCAGTCGTTCTCTCCACGGCTGTCATCATTTTGTTCTACTTGATCTGTTTCCAAAGCAGCGTTTTTTGTTATACTAGAACTGACACAAGCCAGTAGGTCCTGACCGTGCAATGCCTTACATGTTAGCATATTTGCTTCCCATTCAAAGACTGTTTTGGAGTCTGACGTGACACTCTCTGTGTCGTTTTTACTTGCCTCTCTGTGATTAGCCTGTAGTGAATCTTCTTCAGCATTTTCTAATCTGTGAGGGTCACCCCCAGAACTCTTCTCACATAGTTTACCTTCTGTTTCAAGAGTCGGGCCTACTTCACTCTCTTCTGCTTCGGTGCAGGTGAGAAGAAATGCAGAGGACATAAAGTTACTCTGAACACCTGAGGGGCTATTCTGGGCCACTTCCTGTGAGCCTCCGGGGCTCTGGGGGTGTGTCCTCTGTATCACACCTTCCATGGGTGCTTCTTGCACTGCACGAGTTAAGTCACAGGCCTGGGCTGGAGCCTTGCGGGCCCCAGTATCTGCCCACAGGCCTACCTGACTCAACCACCTCCTTTCCAAAGCCCTTCTACCACAACATTCATCTTCAGAAACACTCATTTCAGCCTCATCTTGATAAGACAAACGATTTTCAGGTTGCAGACACATATCTCCTTTGCTCCCAGTTCCCAGGCTGCGGTCGCCACCATACTGCCCAGCCGTCACCATTGGCCCCAGGTGCTCAGGTCTGGGGTTATCACATCTGTGAAAGACTGTTTCTTGGAAATTAGCACCAACAGGAAGACACGCACTTCCAAAGTGCACTGATGTGCTACACCTTTCCGAGCTTAAATTCATTCCACCTAGACTCAGGGAAGGGAGATTCCTGTCTGATCCGCTAACATCTAAACTGGAACAACTGTTGTCTGTCAGAGGTTTTACAGAGTTCCTGTCTCCTGCCTTTTTAGAGTTTAAGCTCTGATCTACACTAATGTTTACAACACCCAAGTCACCATTTTGTTCAACACTGGCAATGTCATTAGTTACATTAACACGTGGGTCACCCATGGGACTTACTGCTGAGCTGTGGCTCTCTCCTCTAGGGATGGCACACACGCATTCTAGTGAGTCAGTGTCTATGTTAGTATTTGATTCAGGTATTCTGCCAACATTATGTAATATAGTCCTTTCTGGGTAATCTTTAGGGAGCTTAGTATAAGTGTTTGCCCTGAAAGACTCAGCCTGCCTGCCACCAGTGTTTACTTTAGAGGGTGGGTCACTGCCAGTCAAAAGTTCAGAACTAGGCTTAGTTTGCTCATTAGAGACTTCCTTCACTTCCCTTAGACCCGGCTGGCCACGTGGGGACAGCTCTTCCCACGGCCCTTGGGCAGCGTTGTCTGGAGGCCAGGTCCCTCTGCAAGTCCTCTCAGATGTGACAGCTGAGAGACTCTTTTCAGCAGCAGCTGCTCCACACACATGAACACACGGCTCATCTTGTATGTCTGGGCCGCCAGGATCTACAACACAAATACTGTAAAACTTGCTCTCTATTGAATTCCATTGTCGTTTGTGATCCATACCCTTCGGCTCCCTACCAGACGTACCAGGAGCATTATTCTCATGACCACAACTGATGTGAACATTTACCAGTAACTCTCCCTCTATTACAGAGCTTTTACAAGTGACGGGGTGGTGGCACAGAGGGTTATTTCCAGGGGCTTCTTCCTGCATTCCCTGGTCAGAAGGCCCCAGGGCATATGAAAGACACTTGTCCCCTTCAGAGAAAGCCCGTGTCCTTTCAGCACTCACACACGGAGGAGTGCAAACACTGCCACCAGACTGCTCAACAACAGCAGTATCTGAATTCCTGTCAGGCTCATCCAAATTGTCATACCTAGCTAGGGACTCACTCACTGAAGAAACAGTGGAGTTACACGGCGGCCTCGTTCTGCGAGCCTGCTTGTGCCCAGACCCCGCAAACACCCCACTCCACACGACAGCTCCAGCAGCTGTCCTGCTGGCCCCCAGTTTGACACTGTGAAGCCCCTCACCCTGCAGGGTACCGAATAGCGCAGACAAAGTTTTACTTATCTTGTGCTCTGGTTCCTTCTCTTCCACAGATTTTTGCAACAGGCCAGTTTTTTCAGTGTCATTGTCACCACTTAATTCTTTGCTGAAGCAACAACCCATGTTCAAAAGTTAAAACACATAACAATGACTGTCGCTTTCTGAACTCCACAAGTATACCTCACACTAACTCTCTATGGTTTCTGACGAGAAGCCGACACCCAGATACCAAAAATAGCCCCTTGCACAGATGTCACATGTCCCCGCCACTCAAATCCAAAATCCTAATTACAACAGCCCTTACCTAACACCATCCTACTCCACAAACTAAAACCCAAACAGCACACGGAACCCGAAGACTCACAACAGCAACAAAAATTTTCTTATTCTTCTTATTCTCATAAACTCAACAAAAAAATAATTAAAATTATTATCCCAGCCAGATGAAGTAATTTCAGACTTTTGCTTTTTCTACAGTATTTCAGCATTCTCTGAATTATATTTCATGGGATGGTGGCAGCCAAAGAAATTAGCTTGTATAGTTCCCAAAGGAAAACAATCATAAAAATCTGTTCTTTAAAATGTATAGATATTTATCATTGTATCTAATTTTCTAATTCTCTGCCTTTGAGAAATAACGTCTATGGGTGTTCAGGAATAACGGTGCTTGGCACAAAATTGGAACCGTGTCCCTTAGAGATCCCTGTTGAAATGTTTACAGTGAATGGCAGGTTGTCTGTGCTTTGCTTTATTTAAATAAATAAATACATCATAACTTTTTTTGAAGTGTGTGTGTAGAGGGAAGGAAAAGACGAAACAAAGTAGCAAAACATGACAGTGGTAACTTCAAGTTCATGATGGGCACACTGGGGTTCCTTTTATTCTCTCTACTTCTACAGATGTCTGAAAATTCTCATTAAGAGAAAGGAAAGAGCAAAAGAAAGACAGACAATCTACACTCACCAGTCCAATACCGGGAGTCCCTCAGAGGCTCCAGAAGCCCTTCACAGGTGGTGAGCAGTCACCGTGCTACATGACCTAGTTCCTGCCCTAATGGGTCTTAAGAACCCCAAAATAAAACTGACACATTTGAAACATTCAGTAAAATAATACAGAACACAATTTCTTAAGTACATTTTACTAAACAGTTACAGTCAAGAGTGTCCTTGAAGGATGTAAAAACCTTTGTGACCAGCAGAAAGATAAAAACTACTAGAGTTAACTTTATTCTAAATGGTAACTCATTTTTTTAAAATTTTGTTTGTTTCTCAAAATGTATTTATCTCATTATTTTTTTAATTGTATGCTCCTAACCCATATACACAATAGTAGTTTTAATAGTCTCCATAGCATAAAACATATATTTGTTTATTTCAGACTCACATCTCAGGCTCTATCCCCCACTGAGGCCCCACTGGCCCCACCTGCCCACCTCACAGCTTCAATTTCTACCCAGTGGATTTCTCTTCCACAAACCTTTACTTCTTCAGATTTTTCCATCTCAAAATAAATGAAATTGGCATCCGCAAACTGCTCAACTATCCTTGATTTCTCTTTCCCTTACCCCAACATCTACAACACCCAGTCCACTCACTGGTGTGGTTGAACCCACCTCCAAGGTAAGTGTGAAATCCGCTCATTCCTAGTCTAAGCCACTGGCAATGAAGTAATCCATTACTTCATAGTTTACTTGCTTTCTTTGCTTTCTTTCTTGACATAATCCATTCTCTTAATATAATGAGGTCAAAATAATCTTCTGAAAATATAAGTCATGCTATTCCTCATCTAAAATCCTCCAGCTTCATCCCAAATTAATTTCAAACACTCAGAGACTATACAAACAGTTGCCCAATGGCTGACAAGAGCTTGGTTTTATTTTTGGTATTATTACTATGTGTTGTTTCTCCTTTTAAATGAAATAACAGACACCAAAGAGGAAGTGTCTCATCTTGAGTTTGGACTCTAAAGCCAGGTTGCCTGGGTTCAAATGCTGGCTCTGCCATGTTCCAGTTGAGTAATCTTGGGGAAATTATTTAAGCCTCTCCGGGTCTCAGTTCCTCTAGTAAGGATCACTTTGCTGCTCACCAATTGGCTAGGCTTGTAAATAGTTACTCCTCAAAATTTTGAGGAGCAGGGAGCTATAATAAACATGATTGCTATTACCACTGGACCAATGCAAACCTGCTCCTGAATTACTCACATTTATTTGGCCATCACTGTGGCAATTCTCCTCCGACTCACTCTACACCCAACTCTGGGGGAAAGACCAAACCTTAAGGAGACTGGTTCCTAAACCAGACCGCTAAACATACTAACTGCCAATTATAACAACTGCAGACTACTGACCAAGACACCAAGCAAGATGTCCACACACTTAGGTGTGCCATAAATAATGCCAGTTAGAAAAATGTTCAGGAAAAAGTAAACTATTTAAAGGTCCCCCAAAACCAAATGAAACTAAGAAAACTAAAGAAATAATGGCTTATCAACATACGAAAACACCACACAGCAAGTCCAAGGTGGTGTAGATGGAATCATGTGATATGGAAAAAACGAGGTAAGATATGTACACTCATTACAAGTACATCAAAACATGTGTGTGTACTTTTAACAAGACTTTTATTTTCTGCAAAGCTGTTTAAATTTGTTATAAATATAGTTTTAAAGGACACTCATGTTGTGAGCCGAGACAGTCTCTTACGGAACCTTCCAGCTCAAGTATTTAATGATCCTATGAAAACCTAAGGCATGCAACACCCTGTAAAACTGGTAAATACTACATCCCCAACTTACAAAACCTGGGTCAGAGTTGTGATCTGTCCAAGGACACTAGGGTACTGAGGGGCAGGGCTGGACAAAGCCCTCACCACATGAGGCTGTTATATGACACTGATTCTTAAAAATAAAAAAGAATGCACATGTAGGTAGCACTAGTGTCAAATTCTTTCTCCACAGAAGTGAAATACTGAATTCAGGCTCAAGTGTTTCAGTTCTTTTCTAGATGGGCCTTATCTCAATTCTCACCTACAAAGAAATTTAAAAAACAAGCAACCCCCCACCCCCAGCACAGAATCCAAAATCTAGACTACTGGAGGTCTTATATTTGGAATTTAAGTTACTTAAAATATTTTTTAAAATAAATAAAATATAATAGGCAAAAAAAAAAATCTACAAACAGAATACAACAATGAAATACAGTGGTTTGGAGGGGTCTTTCATTTTTAAAAATTCCTCATTAAAAGAAGATCAAGGCGGCCGGGTGGCTCAGTTGGTTAGAGCGCGAGCTCTGAGCAACAGGGTTGCTGGTTCGATTCCCACATCCGCTAAGCTGCCAGTGGGTGGCTGGATGGCTCAGATGGTTAGAGTCGTGTGCTCTTAACAACATGGTTGCCGGTTCGACTCCCGCATGGGATGGTGGGCTGTGCCCCCTGCAACTAGATTGAAAACAGTGACTGGACTTGGAGCTTATGGGTCCTGGGAAAAACACACTGTTCCCCAATAAAGTTAAAAAAAAAGAAAGAAAAAAAGATTAACAATCCAATCCCCTCCTTTAATTTCTACATGAACTGCTCATAATTTGGGAGGATAGAGGAAGCCTACTATAAATCTTGTGAGGTTACTTTTCCTTTAAAAAAAGATTTAGTTTTTAATTTTGTGTAGGATTTGTAAGATCACTGGTAAGACTGTCAAGCTAAATCTGGAGTGGGTCCAAGCGCACCTGACATTCGCAGATGCAAACGGTGTAAAGCAGGATTTAAAACCAACAGATCTCCATTTCCTTCTTTTATTAATCACAGCTAAACTTTGAAGCCAATTTTCTTATTGCTTACTATGACTTGTGTGCTGTAAAAAACACAAGATACCAACATGTAAAACTAATCCTATACATACAAGATTATCAGTGAACCATTAAAAACACTGTGATGCCTATCTGACATCAAAGGAAACACGGGCACACTGCTGTCTATAGAACCACACACCCACACACACAACCCAGAGGACATACCGTACAGACACTCACTGGACTCCACTGGACCCCTGCCCCCTCTGGAAAACATCAACATTTTCTAATTGTTTTATAATAAATACTTGTTGTATGGAGATATATATGAGCCTCTGCTGTGATTTATCTCAGAACTGAATTACCTGACTCAAAGCTGGGATGGAGCTTGTCTCAGAAGTGGTTTGAGATATGGGACCATTCATCTGTAAAATTGAAAAACAAATACACCATCACTGCAATGTAAGAAACATATTTTCAAACCATAGTAATTGAGTAAATCGAAGCCCACTGAGAAAAGCACATTTTTACATGACAAAGGAAATTCAGTAAGGTATTCAGAGCTATGCAGGAGCTTTGAAATTTAAAATATTTTGAAATTCTGAATGAACACCATAAGTAAAACTACTTGTAGTTTCAATGTTGAAAATTAAGAAAATCTACCTTTCCCAAAGCCATTGAGAAACTTTTAAATATTAACATGATAAAATCTTAGAAAAAACAAAAACAGTCAAAAGAAAAAGTTTACATTATAATTCTAATTAATTCTTTAACTACATACCACTGCAATGGTTATAATGTTTTAAGAGTATTTATAAATCACTGTGTTTTCTTGGTGATTTAAAATCCCAAGCTTTAAGTATCCAGAGCTGTTAAATACTGCCATTTGTTTTCTTTATCATCTAATACTCAACCCTACACATAAATTTATCCAGAATATAACACCTGTGTCTAGGTTGTAAGATGTGCTAGTGTGTCAGCTCTGGTTTCCTTGTTCAGTCCCATGGAAACTGTTCTCAGAGGGCAGATGCACAGCCCACCCTGGCCGGGCTCAGGCTTGGGCACACTCACCAGATGAGCACTGTCTTTCCCTTCCTGGACTCTCTGGCCCTGCGGTTCAGCCACAACCTTAGCGTCCTGATCAGAAGTCATGAGCTGTTTACTTTGTGGCTCCACGGGGAGAAGTTTAATGTCAACCGTAGGATGCTGTAAAATGACAAAGACAATAAATCGGTAACTCGGAGTGCAGGGTACAATTGATTGTTAATATGCAATTACAAGAAGTCTTAAAATCCTCAGGTTTTCCAGGACATGTATTTATTCCT